AGGATTTTAGTAGCGTTTCCCACAGACGGCGACAAATGATGCAACACGATTCGGGCACTCCTAGCTGGCTGCTGACTGGCTCCTTGTGGGCAACGGACGGCACCTGAGAAGACGAAGAAGAAGGATTCCTGGGGATTTGTCCGGCAGGAATACTCCGAAGCTTAAGTTAGAACGCTGGAGAGGAAGAAAAGAGTGTAAAAGGCTAAGAGTGTAGGTCGCACTAGATCACTGTGCTCGTGAGGTTAGCTCGTGAACAAGTAAGATAATTAAAGTTCGTATGAAAATTCCAAAATGAGTGAATGCGTCTCTCCCCTTCGCCTACAAGGCTTTTATAGGGGCGTTCTTGTCAAGTCATGCTTAACCACCACTGGGCTCCTATCGTAGCCGTTACCTGCCAGGTCTGTGCAGGTGATCGTCATAGTGTACTATCCGCTTGGCTGAGTGACACGTCCCAAAGGGGCAAGCACGCCTCCATCTGTCAAGAGACGTGGGTGCAGACTGTCAAAAGGATAAGGACTGCGCCGCCACTCGAGAGACGTAGCGCAGTCTGACTGGTACGGTTTTGTCAGATGGAAGCTTCCTGAGAGCGTCGCATCACTCAGTCGCAAGCTACTTCGTAGTGAGTTATCCTTGTCGTGAGCTACTTTGTAGCAAGCTCTTAGGGGTACTTCAAGGTGACCCTCATCAGGGTTGGTCTTTGGGGCAATTCTTTTGCCCAAGTGCTGGAGCGAGCTGGTTTCCCTAGCTCGCGAGCTGGTTTCCCTAGCTCGCGAGCTGAAATAGTCTTGGAGTATTTCCTTCTCAGTAGCTCGGGAGACCTGGAGCCTGCGTTGTAGCGAGCTCCCCCTATAGTGAGCTATGACATAGCGAGCTGCTCTACAGGCTCGTTACTTAGTTGTGGTCATGCCATGATGCTGAGCTGTTGCTCGTGCTGAGTCAGGTCCACGTGTCATCGTCTCAGTAGGTCGGGTCAAATCATCCTCCATCAGCACATATTCCATCAAACCCATATCTAATTAACCTGTAATTGAACTTGCAAATAAATCAACCACCAAATCCAATATGAAATCAAACATATGCTACACATGGGGACCTTTGAATCTCATATATTGAGTTAAAACCTCAATCAAAGAGTTGAATACCTATTAAGAGTAAATATTTAACCACCCACGCTACTCAAGAGACCCACTCATACTAATCTCAATTAAAACAAAAACTGCTTAAATTCATAAACTCAACTAATAATTAATTTTATCAACATAGGAACCTCTGAACCCCATATGTTGAGTTAAAACCAATCATTCAAGGAGTTGAACACCTATTCAAAGTAAATATTTAATCACCCACGCTACTCAAGAGAAACACTCATATAAATCTTAATGAAAAAGAAAAACATTCGGAAACTCAACTACTATATCATTCATCAACATGGGAACCTCTGAATCCCGTATATTGTGTTAAAACATGTCAATCAAAGAATTCCATCTGCACTGATTTCAAGAGACCCATTCAAACTAATTTCAATGAAGAAAAACTGCTTAAATTCAGAAACTCGACTACAATATCATTCATCAACATGGGAACCTCTGAATCCCATATATTGAGTTAAAACTTGTCAATCAAAGAGTTCCATCCGTACTGATTTCAAGAGACCCATCCATAAATATATCAATGAAGAAAAACTATTTAAATTTATAGATTCAACTAATATATTATCCATCTACATGGGAACCTCTAATCCCATATATTGAGTTAAAACCTGTCAACCAAAGACTTCCATCCGTATTGATTTCAGAGACCCATCCATACTAATTTCAATGAAGAAAATTTGTTTAAATTCATAAAATTAAAACCTATCAATCAAAGAGCTTCATCCATATTGGTTTCAAGAGACCCATCCATACTAATTTCAATGAAGAAAAACTCTTTAAATTCATAAAGTCAACTAGTATATCATCCATCTACATGGGAGCAACCTATTTAAGTAATCATCTAATCAAGTAATAAAACCTATTTAAGTAATCATCCAATCAAATAGTTGAACAACCTATTTAAGTTCATAAACTCAAGTAATAAAACTTGTTTAATATCATCAATTCAACTAATCATTTATCTACATGGTAGCATGTGAATCTCATATATTGATTAGGAATTTATTAAGCAAAGATTTGAGATTTGAACACTTATTCAAACTAAACATTTCAATCATCCACAAAGCTCAGAATATCCATTCATCTTAAGTTGGAAAACCCCGTGTAAATTCATCAGCCCAATTATGCCAAATCGGCATTCCCATGGGAACTTGTGAATCCCATATATTGAGTGAAAACCTGTATTTAACAAATAGATTAACACATGTTCAAACTAAAGATTCAATCATCGTTCATGAACCATTAGTATCTTCATTTATCCACTTGGGTAATGTTCAAGTCTTCCACAAGACAAGACTATTTCTATCGATTGATCAAGACATGTTTGAGTCATATGGCAAACTAAATAATGTTCAAGTTTTCTAAAACATGAAAATTTAGCCAAGGAACAACTGATAAAGCATAACAAAAAGTGGGGTGTTAGTAAACCATATATTCATCAATGTCTCCAAAAAAGGGGTGTTACCAAAGTAACTTCAGTTAAGTGGGACTAGCTTCAAATCCAACCATGTCTTCCTCAATTCCGGAGGCAAGGCATAAAATGCTATTGCTTGATTTTCAAACTCAGTCAGATAATCAATTGCCCTTATGAGGAAGGAGGGGTTGTGATCCCTTAGGCTCAGCACATCATCATAAATATTTTCCTTCTTCAGCAACTTGATTCCCTTCTCAACAGCAAAAGCTAATGACTTAATGCTAGATGCAATCTCTCTCTCTCTCTCTCTCCCCCCTCCCTCTCTCTCTCTCTATCTTATGCTTTCTCCATTGAAATCACATAAAAGGCTAACACATTCACAAGAATAATGCCCTTTGAACACAAGAGCACTCTTTTGCAAACCAAAGATTCATTCACATAGTGTAGGTATGTGGCGCTCACTCAGACCCTCAGAACGCCAAACATCAAGATTAACACCACAAAAGTGCACGCGAGCAAGTCACAACTAAATCCCATGCAGTGATGAACCCATAGCACACCAGCATCCTTGTGATGAACATGCGAATACGTATCACAATAATCGCGATAAACCCGCGGTTCACCGAATCCAGTCAGCGCCCAAACCTAAAGAAACCACAATCGTACCCATCCAAGGGTCCCAAGCTCACCTGAATGTGCGATGAATCTACGCCCACTAAGGCGTGCGATGAACCAACAACCTGCGAACCCGCTCGTAACAACGAGTTAGAAGGGACGTAAGCCGAACCCAGGCGAGGTCCACGTATGCCCAAAGGCACATGGAACCCACGGCAGTAAAGGACATTGCAAGCCGCCACGTGGAACCAGCAAAGTGCCAACCGCCGAACGATGATGCCACCGATGCCACAAAGGATTAGTTGTGGTGCGCAAAAAGGCAGTAGCACACATGAGTAATGAGGGATCTTAAGGATAAGGAAAGCTGATCCTTGAGAAGATCCTCATGAGACATGTGGCGATACCCCAGTAGCACATCTAATAATTGACAATGAATCAAATAATCCCTTCCCCGATACAGAGCGAATACCCTCATCTCCTACCTTTTAGGATCTCAGGATCTCACCCATAAATAGAGATCCTCCTTGTATCAAAAGTCATCTAATCCCAAGCACCCATTGCACAGTACTCCCGAGTATGCCCTAACTCTCTCATTGTGCATCCCTAATCGAGAGACCCTCATCTTTCCCTTCTCACAGGCCTTCCTCTATCTTTCAAAGAAACTGCTCCCCAACCAAGCCTTGCCCTACCTACACAAAGAATAAAGCCCTTTGAATACAAGAATAAATGTCTTTTGTTAGATAACAGATCATCAAACCAAAGATTCATTCACATAGAAACTGAAATGAAACACTTTTCATGCAATGGAATAGATATTTATATCTACAAGTTTTTACACACAAATCAAACATATTAAATAAACAATATTCAACAAAAATAACAAGACAAACATAACACAAACCAGTTGAGGATTAGAAGTATGATTTTAATTAACTGTCTTTTGTTAGATAACAGATGACCAAACCAAAGATTCATTCACATAGAAATCGAAATAAAACACTTTTCATGCAATGGAATATATATTTACATCTATAAGTTTTTACACACAAATCAAACATATTAAATAAAAAACACATTAAATAAAAAATATTCAACAAAATAACAAGGCAAACATATTTTTGTCCATATTAAATGGAGAAAACGTTTAAAACTATGATCTTGAACGAACACATGTATTCACACCAAATCTATCACCATTGTTAAACTAGGCACCAATGCACATGGATGGCTTCTTTCTACTCATCGGCGTTAACGCACTAGATCAAGGGAAGGGATTTTTCCAGATCTATAACAATAATCCGGATTTTTTTCCAAATCTGTAATAATAGGGTTAAACCAAATGCTAATGCACTAGATCAAGAAGATGTTCCCAACTGATCTTATTAGTGTTTTTGCCCTTAACTGTAAGAGGAAGAAGATTATTAGTGTTTTTGCCCTTAACTGATATTATTTTTAAAAAATTAATCTATTCTTGAAAATTTTTTAAATATTTTACTTTTATTGATATTTGGGGCGAAAAATTGCCCTTATCTTTATAAACCCTTTTCCAAACCTGCCCCGAATAAGATGGAGCCCACGGAGACGGGTCAAATTGCCATCTCTCACTTTTGATTTTATTACATTGCCCGTTATACACATTTTAATTGAAGATCGGATCTGCTCTTCACAGAGCGCACCTCACTACAAACTTCATAGCTTATCGCAGGCGTGCATTGAGAACATAGTGAAGATGTTCCCAACGCACGGCTGGGATATTCTGTGAGAATGATCTGAGGCGCAGATCCGAAACACTTATTTGTGGCGATACCGCAGCGGAATAACCGGATAACCGCCTCAAATCTCAACTCCCAACCTCCTCCTCTTTGCTGATTCCACCGTATCGTATCGCCTACTTACAAAAGACGCATAGTAGATTCTTAATCTTATCGATTTTCTTTGCATTTGCTTCTTCATCTTCCTAGGGTTTCAGAGGAATGACTCAGATGGGAGGAGGAGTCATGAGGGCTGCAGCCAAGGTCGCCAATTTCGGCATTAATGGTGGTTTGCGAGGCGTTCCTGCTGCCCCTTTGGGAGAGCAGTCTGTCGCTACCGTCTCTCGAAAAACTCCAAGGCCCTCCCCTGCAATCGTCTCTTCAACGGCCACTGAAGAAGGAAAGTTCGTTGGCTTTCTTTCTTCTCAGGATGGGAAGATTGAGGCCGTTGGGTCGGTCCAGAGACCATCGTGGGAGATCGATGACTGGGAGTTTGCTGGGGATGACGAGGAACTGCTCTTGGATTCCATGAATCCGATGCCTAGAATTGTCTTCGGAGGTGTTCCGACTTTGGAGGAGGCCAAAGAGGCGACTTCTGACCTGAAAGACGCTCTGGAGAAGTAAATTCCTTTCGCATTTTTTCTACTTTTTATTTTGAGAAAATTCTTCGCAGCTTCTTATAGGAATATGTCGTTGATACCATTCTGTTCTGTCATTGGATTTTCACTAACAAAAAATAAAATAAAATAATATGCTTATTATGTAAAAAATAATACAACTGCTAGTTATCGTTTTAGCGGATAAGCTGAATTGATCCACATACATAGAGCATCTTTAAGCAGACATATTCATACACTGCATAGACTAACCTCTGTAACTTTAACGAACTTGATAGCATATAGCTCTCCAGAAGAGAGAGCTACTCAAAGGTTTTAGACTAGAAAGATTTATCTCCCTAGCAGAGAGCCAATTAGTTTCAATTGTCCTTGACCTATTTAAACGTTTTAAATTAACGTCAAATGTGGTGATGACCATTTTGATGAACTCTTTTGAAGTGTTAAGCACAATGCCTTTATGAAGCAGAGTTTCACAATGTGGTTCAACGCTTCTTAAAGTTCTTTCACACCTAACTCAGAATTTTTCTTCCATTAACTCAAGAGGAGCTTTTTTTTTTCATTGTTGAACCTTTATTTAATTAAATGCCAAATTAAATCAAAAGGATAAATAGAGATGAATAAGAACGGATGATAATTGAACTCTCTTTTTCATTCTGCCATTTTAAAGGGATTGAAATGAATCAGACTGTTGAGGTATGATTGACAAGGACTGGCTTATATATATATATATATATAATCTTCTATGTATTACTCTGTAAACAAATGACATTTCTCGCTGATCCTTGCTGTACTCCACATCCAGGGTGTACTTCTCCTCTTCCAATGCTTCTGGATGCATTGACCCTGTTGCAGTTGTTCAAGAATCTACTAAAAACTCTGAATTTCCAGAAACTAAAGTTTGTGTTACTAGTGAAACTACAGTGTCCCGGCCATCAGCACCAATACATGCTCTTCAGGCATTCAAATTGCTGAAAGAAAGTGCTGAAGCTCAGGTTCCAACTTTCCTTTTCTCCTTTTGTCATCTTTGGTTATGCAACATTGTTTTTCTTTTCATTTCTTTAGACTCAAACTTTCATAATCTATCTATCTCCCATCACCCCCTCAAACCCTCATAACAACTGGTATGGCAGCAAGCAATGATAAGGAATTCTGTTGTTCTTTTTTTTTCTTATGTGAGGAACTGGATATTTCCATCAAAACTAGGTGCTTAGGATTTGGAGAGAAAGAAATCAGACTTATTTGTCTGGTTTTGTATTAGTTCTATTCAAGGAGAAAAGACAACTAAAAATGGTACTGTCACGGTTGAATCTAGTTCAAACTTCTGTCCAGTCCACTACTTAAAATACTGGATGAACTGGACTTATTGATGGGGTCTTGGTGCTTGTATACTTGTGACACTGTAAACCTTGTATGGTTTTTTGGTTTCCCTATACTTTTTCTTGTTACTTTCAAAGAAAATATATTTTCACTTTAGTTAGGACACACATCCAGATCAGTGGCATGCTTTATGGTATCAATGAATTTCCTCCACTTTGGTCCTCACACAAACCTGATGGGACACACATAGTTGTTGGGAACTGGGATGATGAGCTAACAATGCTGGATGTTCGAAAATTTAAGTCCATTCACAAATGCAACTTCAGTTATGAGATATCATAAAGATGAGGTGAAGTCCTCCTTACGGGTATGGAGGAACCTGTCTGGAAGAAGATTATTTCAGTGGAGAAAAAGCGTTTTCTGCTTGAAGAATGTAAGGAAGGAGAGGTGTTGAAGTTCGAAGAGATTGGGAGAGCTATGGTTTTCCTATCTCAACAAGTGGTGTTTTGGTTTAAAGGATTTGTTGATGGGGTAATACACGCGGTGACTGAACCAAGCTGGAGAAGTGTTTGGAGAAGAGACGGGAATTTCTACTCAATTGAGAAGAGAGTTAATAGTAAAGGCTGTTTTTTGAGATTGGACAAGGTGAGAAGACGGTAGAAGACAGATCATTTGTCTTCCAGAAGGGAGAAATAGCCAGGGTTGGTCAAGAGTTACTGAGATGTTGCAGGAGTTTGCAGAAAGATGTTGGGTAAAAAAAGAAAAGTTGCTGAGTTGGGTGGTGAAGAAGATGGTTCAGTTTCAGGTTCTGAATACCCAAATGGAAGGCCTTGGGTTGATGTCTGGTAGTGCAGCTTGCACTCCCAGAATCGTGTTGGGAGAATGTAAGGAAGGTTGGAGTAGAAGAATGGTTGTGCTAGCAAAGAAGAAAGTAGTAGATTGGAAGATAATTCTTGATGCTGTTATGTCTAGAATCTCAACCTTGGATTTGGCTGTTCTTGTGCCTTTTGATGACAGAAAAGTGGTGTTAGACTTAGGGGATTTCCAAGCAGAGCCCATGGATTTTGAAATGTTGGAAGGAGCGATCTATATAGTCAAGTGGACACCTTCTTGTAATGAAATCTCAATCTCTGAAGGAAGTGTGAGTTTGAAGATCTTTGGACTTCTCTTCAATTTGTGGCTTGATCATGTCTTCATTAAAATAGCAACAGTATGTGAAGTCTTGGAAGATACTTGCTTGATCGATTTGCATGCAACAAGAATTAAAGTGGCTGGTATTAAACTGGATAGGATTCCCCGTTTGGTCAATCTCTACGTAGTAGGGAAATGGTGGAAATTTTTGGTGGTAGTGGAAGCTGAAGCGGCGCTGTGGTATGGAGGGAGAGAGGTGGAAGATGATGTCAACTGGGCTTTGGGGGAATGCACATGGCACAGAGCGGAAGGAGAGGGAGAAAAGGAAGAAGTTGAAAGGGTTTTTGATCTTAAAGGATTGATGTTGAATAAAGGGTGTGTTCAATTTTCGAAAAAAGGTTGTGGTGATACTAATGTCGAGATAGGGAACATGGAAAAAAGGGGAAAGAAGATAAAAAGACTTAATGGGAGAGAGAAGGCTTGTTACATTTGGTTAAGAGGGGATTTTGCTGCCCAACATGTGTTTCTCTTGGGGAGCACGTGGGCGAAAAAGAGGAGTTTGAGCGGGGCAGGAAATAGATGGGCTTTGGGTCATGCCATTGGGTCAAAAGAAAGAAATTGAGAAGCAAGTTAAAGAATTATTAGATAAAAAATTCATCCAACCAAGCCATAGCCCATTTTCTTCCCCAATCCTCTTGGTCAAGAAGGATGGGACATGGCGTTTTTGCATTGATTATAGGGCAATCAATAACATCACAATCAAGGATTGGTTCCCAATCCCGGTGATTGAGGAGCTTTTGGATGAGCTCAAAGAAGCCCAGATTTTTTCTAAGCTGGATTTATGGGCAGGCTATCATCAAATTAGAGTGCACACAGATGACATATACAAAACAACATGTCGGACTCATGATGGACATTATGAGTTTTGGGTCATGCCATTCGGGCTCACAAATGCCCCAACAACCTTCCAATTCCTCATGAATGATTTATTTCGCCCATACCTTATACTTTTTTTTTTTTTTTTTATGATATCCTAGTCTACAGCCCCACATGGGCCCAACTCTTGGAGGATTTAGAAGTCACTTTGAAGGTTCTCTTGCACAATCAGTTATATGCGAAAGAATCTAAGTGTGCTTTTGGCCAATCCCAAGAACACTTCCTCAGCCACGTGGTAGAAGGAGGCACCTTAATGCCGGACCCAAAAAAAGTGGCAAGCATCTAGCAATGGCCCACACCTACAAGTGTAAAAGAACTTCAAGCTTTCCTGGGCTTGACGGGATACTACCATCGCATCATTAGCGGCTATTGCCTCATTGCTAGCCCATTGACAAATCTACTAAGAAAAGATGCATTCGCATGGATTCCAGAAGCCCAAGGGGCCTTTGAAAATCTCAAAACAGCTCTGTCTTCAGCACCAACATTAACATTACCAGACTTCAACAAAACATTTGTTATAGAATGCGATGCATCTGGTCAAGGGATCAGAGCCGTATATATGCAGGAAGGGAAACCCCTTGCCTTTTTTTTTAGTAAGGCACTTTCAGTACAATGGGGATCTAGCGTGGTGTACACAAGAGAACTGGTGGTAGTAGTAGTCTTTGCGGTATTACATTGGCATTCCTATCTACTGGGGCGCAAGTTCATAATCAGCACCAATATTAACATTACCAGACTTCAACAAAACATTTGTTATAGAATGCAATGCATCTGGTCAAGGGATCAGAGCCGTATTGATGCAGGAAGGGAAAACCCCTTGCCTTTTTTAGTAAGGCACTTTCAGTACAATGGGGATCTAGCATGGTGTACACAAGAGAGCTGGTGGTAGTAGTAGTCTTTGCGGTATTACATTGGCATTCCTATCTACTGGGGCGCAAGTTCATAATCAGAACTGATCATCAAAGTCTCAAACTCTTTACTAGGACAGTGGATTCTATCCCCAGATCAACAACGTTGGGTCTCAAAGCTCATGGGGTTTGATTATTCGATTGAATATTGATTGGGAGCAACAAATAAGGTGGCTGATGCACTGTTGAGACACCCAGAACTGCAGTAGCTACAAGTCTCTCTTCAGCCCACAACTAAATTCTGGGACCAAGTTCGAGAAGAGGCAGCTACAAGTCCCAAAATATAACAGACAAAAGACTGCCTTTCATAGCAATCTGAACCTAATTACATGGTCAAAGGACCCTTGCTCTACCATAAAAAAACAGGTTAGTGCTACCAACCAACTCGGCCCATATAGGCCCATTGTTAGATTATTTTCATGCTTCACCCATAGGGGGCCATTCAGGGGTGCTCTGCACGTACAAACACATTGCATCTCAGTTCTATTGGAAGGGAATGATGAGGACTATCCGGAAGTACATTGCCAACTGCAAGATTTGTCAACAATGCAAATACGAGGCCCAATCTCCAGCAGGCCTACTCCATCCCCTTCCGGTTCCCACCCAAATTTGGGAATGGGAAGACGTATCTATGGATTCATTACCGGGCTTCCGCTTTCAGCAAGTAAATCTATTTTGGTGGTGGTAGACCATCTCACCAAGTATAGTCATTTTCTGGCATTAGCACATCCGTTCACAACAGTAACTGTGGCTGATGTCTTTGTATGGGAAATAACCTGCGTCCATGGATTTCCCAAATAATCAATTTTGTCGGATAGAGATCCCGTGTTCCTTGGTATATTTTGGAAAGAACTATTTCGTGTACAAGGGGTTCAACTAAGGTAATCAACTAGCTATCATCCTCAATCAGATGGACAAATAGAGGTGGTCAACATATGCTTGTTGGCATACCTGTGCTGTTTTTCAGGTTCCAAACCCAAACGTTGGGCCCAATGGTTCCATTGGGCTGATTGGTGGTATAATACCACCTATCATGTTGCTGCGTGGATGACACCTTTCCGTGCCTTATATGGTTGAGAATCCCCAACTTACTGCCTTACGAAAAGGGTTCCTCTCTAGTTGCTTCATTGGAAGAAGCATTGACCCAACGGGATGCTACTCTACAGGAGCTCAAACACAACTTGAACCAAGCGCAACAGTGGATGAAAAACGCATATGACAAACACCGCCGGGAAGTGGAGTATCAAGTGGGTGACTTTGTCTGCTTGAAATTTCTCCCCTACCGCTTACTGTCAATAAGGCAACAATGCTGGAATAAGTTGTCTCCACACTACTTGGGGCCTTTCAAGATCATCGAAAGGATAGGCAAGCTTGTCTACTGCTTGGAGCTACCTGAACACTCTGAAATTCATCTTGTATTCCACATTTCAGTTCTGAAGAAAGGTCTCAAGCCAGATGTAGTAAGTCAGCCCACTCGACCCAAGTTTACTGAAGACATGGCTTTTGTCACGGAACCACATTCCATTATTGGCTTTCGTTGGGTAAATAAAGGACATCATGTGGAACTGGAAGCTCTGGTAGTATGGTCTCAACTACCCAAGGAAGATGCAACATGAGAGCCTTACATCCAACTCCACTGCCAATTTCCCCATCTTGACCTTGAGGCCAAGGTCCAGCTTAACAGGGGGGTATTGTTAGGACAAGCTGCACTGAACCCAGGCCGGTGTATGGAAATAGCCAGCCCAAACTCAAGCCCTAGAAAAGAAGAACTCCACGTCAGCTCTTAGGTCCAACTAATGACAGGGTGGCATAACTGAATGTAACATATACTGGGAATTGACTTCCAAGAATAACAGAATGTAACAACCTCACGAATAAATACAATCAGAGGAAGGAAAGGGGAGGACGACTATTCAGACAAATCTCTCTCTCTCTCTATCTATTATCTATCTATCTGTCTATCTATCTATCTATCTATCTATCTATCTATCTATCTATCTTACTCTCTCATTCAAGGAGGTGGTTCCTCATTAGAACCCTGTGTTAGGCAGTTCCTAACAGTTCCATGGCAAGCAACAACCATTTAAAACATAGAAAATCAACATATGAAAAAAATAGAAATAATATAAATTTCAAAGAATAGAGGGGTTGGGCCTCTATTTTTGTCCTAGAAAAAGAAGAAAAGAAAAGAAAGGATTGAAGAAGTATTTGAGGGTTCAAGACAGTATACATCTTGGTTAAACCTTAACAAATAAGAAAAGGGGAAATCTATGATATGGAAAGAGTTTTGACCAATCAAAACTCACCCATGAATTTTGATAAATAACACCTGGTTCGCTATCACATTTATGATTTCAGTTTATTGGTCAGTTGTTTTTCAGATATCATATCTTTTCCATATCATAGTCAAACCCATAAGAAAAATAATAAAAAGAAACTAGCATTTGAACTCAAACTGAATAATTTAGTTTAATGTTTATTATATTATTATAGTCTTAGAAAGTTAAGAATATCAAAGTACCCAAGAGCACTGTGTAAAAAAATATCTTGGTAATTAAGTGAGGTGACCCTCTATGAGTGCCTTACCACCAAGGCATCACTTTACATGTTAAGCTACGTTGGTATTACTTGATTGTCAATTTGTCATAGGTAGTATATTCTAGAGGTAGTCTCTATTTTATATATAGTGGGTTGTTCTTGTATCATTTGGTGTAGTAATAGTAGACATGCCTTCATTGGGTTATTTGGGTTTTCGTATATTGATAGTAATGTTTGTATTTTATTGGATGGTCACAAGGAATTGTTGTGATTATGTGAACTCATGAAAACCAAATGACCGAGGCATGTACTTCTGGGTGATTTGGTTTATCATTTGGCTTATAGCATGTTTGAGTATTTTTAGAGGCAACAAGAAAGTGTTATGATTATGTGAACTCATTGCTTCACATATTAGGCTACCTTAGTATTTCTTTATATCCCTAGTAAGGTAGTTGATCCCAGAGGTACTCTCTATTTTATCATATGATAGAGGGTAGTTCATGTATGACTTGGGATTGTTATAATAAACATGCACTCTTTGGGTAATTTCGTCTTTCATTTGATTGATATATCTATGTTTTATTGGACGGTTGCAAAAAAGTGTTGTGACTGTGTGGACTCATTGAAACCAATCAACTAGGCATACACTCACAAGGTGATTTGGTTTTAAATTTGATTATTAGCATGTTCTTGACTTATTGGAGGTCACAAGAAAGTGTCATGACCATGTGAATTCATTGTAATTAAATCACCTAAGCATGCAGTCACTGGGTGATTTGGTTTTTCTTTTGATTGATAGCATGTTAGTGTTTTATTGGAAGGTCACAAGAAAGTATTGTGACCATGTGAACGTATCACAACATATTAACCTACCTTGAGATTTGGTTTTTCTATTTTTTCATATGTTAATGGTTATTTTTGTATCATTTGGGGTAAGAAAAAGGCACGCACTCATCGGGTGATTTGATTTTTCATTTGATTGTTAGTATTTGTGTTTTATTGTAGGGTTGCAAGAAAGTGTTGTGACCATGTAAACTTATCAAAACCAAATCACCTAGGCATGCATTTACTAGGATGGTGTTTGGAAGCGTGGGCGTTTATTGGGACCGATTTTCAAGAAAAAACGCCCATGCTTCCAAGACCCGTTTTTCACAAAAAAAATGCTTTAATTTTGTTTGGGAGTGTTTCTGCCACGTAGGCAGTGAACAACACTATGCTGTTTGGTAAGGTGATTTTCATCACCGTTTTTCATGTATGTGCTGACAGGTAAGCACCACATAGGATACATGTAATCACCAATCAGTCAACCGTTGGGGGGAACGGTTCACCGATGCATGAAACGCCAAATTTATGAGGCATGCCCGATTTTTCAATAAACGCCTGAACCAAACAATGAAATATATCGGCGTTTTTTGAAACGCCTATTTGGATCCGATGTGGCACCGTTTTTTTGAAAAACGGCCACGGTTCCAAACATCCCCTAGGTGATTTGGTTTTTCATTTGATTGATAACATGTTTGTGTTTTATTGGAGGATTGCAGGAAAGTGTTGTGGTCATTTCATCTAATCACTCATCATGCTAGGCTACCTTGATATTTCTAAATTGTCATAGTAAGGTAGTAGGCCTTATAGGCAATCTCTATTTTTTCATATGTTAGTGGATTATTAGTGTGTTATTTGGAGTAGCAACAACAGGATGCATTCATTGGATAATTTGGTTTTTCATTTGATTAATAGCATGTCCATATTGTATTAGAGGATCACAAGTGTTGTGACCATGTGAGAAAGAGGCTGATTTCCGGGAATGTTAGGGGTTTGGGAGGAGAGAGAGAGTGGTTAGAAGGGCATTTGAGCAGTTTAAAAGGAACAGAGAAGAGAAGAAAAAAAATTAGGGGAGGGGGGAGAAGAGTGAAAGGTTTTTTGGAAGAAATAGACAGGAAGGTAGTGGAGGTTGAGTTGGATCATGGCTGCTTCTTTGGAACTTTTCCTCTTGGCCAAGATACAAAGGAGGGTTGATGGTCAGCGGAATTTGGAGTTGTCTTTCATTTGCTATTTGCTTGTTATTTGGATGGCAAAGGAAGAGAAATCTTCTTGAAGACAAGGATTGAAAGCAGGCAATCTGGTGGTGGCCATTGGTATTTCTGTTGTAGTTTGGTTTTGTTTATCTTTTTTTACTGAGTTTTCTCAGGTCAAGTGAGTCGACTATGGAGAAAGATTATGGGAGGGGGTGGGTTTACAAAATTGTAATTTGGATATTTGTAGATAGGTGGTTGTTTTTCTTATTGCTGTTGTATGGTGATATCTTATCACCCTCCCAGATTGTATCATTTTTCCTTTTAATGGAAATTTTCTTTTACTTGTCAAAAAAAAGTGCTGTGACCATGTGAACACAGTAAAACCAAATCACCAAGGCAAGCACTCATTGGGTGATTTGGTTGATGACATGTTGTGTTATATTGGAGGAGGGTCAAAAGGTGTTATGACCGTGCAAACTCATTGCTCCACATGTTAAGCTATCTTTGTATTTCTTGATTGTCAAAGTAAGGCCGTACACTCTGAAGGCATGGTTTTCAAGGTGTTGAAGCAATGCTAGGACCGCTTGGTGATGTGGTTTTTTGAATAAAACCCATCTTTCACTATTAATTGTCTCCTAGTCACCTAGGTGATGGGTTTTTCTGAAGAAAAACCATGAATCCTAGGGTATTTTTTTTTGATAATTGAATCGTAGGGTAATTCCTTAGGTTCTATAGCAAGCAGACCATCTTTTTGTTTTTTATTATCAGTAGCAAGCAGACCATCTTTCGCTACTAATTGTCTGTAATCTTCATAAAAAATGTATAAGCTTCATTTGAAATATAGAAAATCAACATATTCATGAAAAATGGAAGAAAGAAAGAAATTTCAGAAGTAGAGAGGTTGAGCCTCTCTATTTTTGTTGTAGGAAAAAATAAAAGAAAGGGTGAAAGAATGTGTTGAAAATGATGATGATGAAAATAATCAATATATGTTGGATAAAATTCTGAGTTCTTCCATGCCTATCAGTTCAAGTTTTGAAGTCTTTGAGGATTTGATGCAGTATACATGTTGATTAAGCCCTAACAAAATGAGAAATAATATAGAAAATCAACATCTTCATGAAAAAAATGGAAGAAAGAAAACAAATTTCAGAAAATAGAGAGGTTGAGCCTCTATTTTTGTTGTAGGAAAAAATAAAAGAAAGGGTGGAAGTAGTAGTTTTGAAGTCTTCAAGGATTCAAGGCAGTATACATGTTGATTGAACTCTAACAAATGAGAAACATAATAAATATTAACTAATAATTTAGTTTAATAATGTGTATTTTTATTATTATAATCTCAAAAAGTTAAGAATATAAAAGTATCCAAGAGCACTGTGTAAAAAAATATCTTGGCGATTAAGTAAGGTGACCCTCCATGAGCACTGTGTAAAAATTATCCTGGCGACTAAAAGATGCAGGTACTTCTTGCACAATCTCTAATTGCAATTTTTTTTTTTTTTCTGAAGGCTTTTGCTTATGCATTTTTTAATACAAGCGAATAATTGACGTTGTTTAGTGTTTACCATTTGAGTGGCAAGTAGTTTTCTAGTCATATACCTGCATGCCTGCAATATATGCTCCAAGGTTCTATTTATTTAGCCATCTGTCTGTGGGAGTAAACCTGAGGTCTTACCTTATGCCTTGCCACTTGCTATACCGTGGTTTCTTATGCTAGTTTTTTACAGTCTGTTGTTGCTTCACTTGTATCTGACAAGAACGTCTGGGATGCTGTGATGAAAAACGAGGAAGTTGTGGAATTTCTCCAATCACAACACACCAGTAAGAATCTCTTCATTTTTTATTTTTCCAGAATACAATTCTCTGGCTGATGTATTGGAGATCCAATGCATTGACATCTTTCTCAACTCCCAGGTGCTGATCGCTTAGGCATGGATGTGAATGTGAACAAATCATTTGCAGATGGTAAGTTCAATGGTGAAGAATCCTCAGAAAGTATATACGATGAGGTTGATGAGGATCATCGTGAGAACCGTGGTGATGGATTTATGGGGTGGATAAATAACGTCAAGCTTACGGTCATGAAGATGGTGAGCAGCGTGTCTGAATTTTTCCATCACATCTTAGGAGGAGATATATCTGTTGATGGCAACGGGAATGGGACTACAGCTACTGTTGAGAGGACTATAACATCATCCTTCATGGCACTGGCGGTCTTGGCAATTATGGTGGTTGTGTTGAAGCGAGGATAAATTTGGTGAATTGACAGTCCTACTTATATGAATTAGCCGACTTTGCATTACATATATATTTTTTTCTTTCACAGCTATTGTTCTGACACTATGGTATGCAAGTAGTTCTGACGCTAAGCTTATTGTACATATAAAGAACTCGCGGGTATGCTTGAAACTGTGATCCATGTAATTAAGGCTTTTCAAAGACTTGAAGTTTATATTTTCCGAGCTATGACTTGATAACCATTAACCATTTGATTAAAACTCTAGGGCTGCATTTGTTTTAGGTGTAAATTCAGTTTTACACCGATGGGAAATGTGAATCGGTTTAGTTGTCGATGGAAATTAGGACTAGTAGATTTTGAAAATTTACACCAACTGTAAAGTCACTTTGGAAGAGAATTTGTTCTGATGTAGGCATGTAGCCATCATTTAAGTCATTACCTTAAGGCTGTATTTGGTTTGAAAGAATCCTTGCAGTCATCTGTTTTCTTTGTTATCTAATTGGTCCAAGTTGTGTCCCTTTTTCATAAATAACATCTCAATCTTTATCTAAGCTCACAAGACACAACGTTTGACTATTACCTGATATATTAGGAATGTGTAAGCTACTGTTTACTAATGACACCATGATGTGGATGAAAAGGTAGAGGTTATGTTGCTTTTACTGTTAAACCAAGTACAGAGAGAGATAAACAACTTAACATACAACTGTCTGCATCTCATTGGAAACACGGCACAGCCCACAGCATAGTGCACATAGCAGGCCCAAGCTCAACTGAGTACTGATGCCAGAGGGGAGTAGCAGGAAATAGAGGTGGCATGATTCGGGGATCCAATCCAATTCAAATGAATTCTACAATGTAAAATTTGAACGTGTTTGAAGTCAGATACCTGTATCTTTATAATTATAGGTTTGTTTTAGTTTTCACCGTTACCAAGGGAACCCTCGATATCAAAATTTTCTTTTTCTTACAGACGATTTATGAACCAAAAAAGGGCCATTATCATCATGGGATGTTACTTCTGGGATTTTTTTTTTGGCTATCCCCCTTGTGGCTTGCGAAGGGTGGACGGAAAATGAATTTAACCTTGAGCATTTTCCTGGCTGGAAGCGGCCGATTCTCAAGTTCGAACCAGGGTTCTTACTCTTGTTAGCACACGAGATTTATGAACAAAATAACCAAACAGACAGCAAATTTATATGAAATAAAACACGAGCTATGGGCCATATGTCAGTGATAAGTGACTTATAAACAGACAGCAAATTTATATGAAATAAAACACGCCTTAAGACTGTTTGGTTTGAAACAAAAGGTAGGGAACTTCTTTCCTACCTTTTCTTTCAAATCAAACACATCCTAAAGGAATCTCATGAGAAGATGAATAAGATTACGAGTTTGCAGAGATTCTTTGAACACAATCCATGGATGACTGCAATACCAAACAATGGAAAATATAAAAAAGAAAATGTGGTGATATTATAAGGAAATCGTGATTAGGTTTGGAACGAGTTAAAACAGAAACTGGGAAGCTGAAAGAGAGTGTAATACTTATTTATCATCATGGAATATTATCGAAAAGGTTTCTCTAATCGGATCAATTAGGAGTTTCCCTACACCACCGGCTTTGTTTCAACCATGTCGAAGAACCTCTGTCCAATCAATCAAATAGGGCTTAACTATTTGAGACATGCGTGAAATCCCTTGATCCATGAAGACCTCGGCTGCTGGAGGGTTGCCTGTAAATGGAGGAACATCAGAGACCTCGAAGAGTGATATTCAGAGGTGTGGATGGTCAAGTTAGTAATGTTGAAAATAAAGAAAATGATCTCAAGAGATTGATAAGATATGATAGAGGTGAGGTGAGATGAAGTGAAGTATGATAAGGTGATGGCTGATGTGTGTCTTTTGTATAGTGTAGTGCTTTGAAACAAATAAGGGATTCACCTTTTTTATAAAAGAGGAGTTTCATTTAAGAATGAACATGTCACTCATAGGCAATCGGAGTTTGACCCACTTGTTATGTCCTCAGTTGACAGGTTGTATGCACTTGTTAGGTAATGGGCCTGCACGTTGGATACATTGACGTTGATGTTCTGATTAATTCGACCACATGTAATGTAACATCTATAGATGCCCATGTATTGCAAGGAACTTGGTCAACTAGATGTACTTATCATGAGCTAATGTCAGGTCGGCTCGACTAGGTTGGCTGGGCCTTAGGTGAATTTGGTCAGGTCAGCCTGGTCTAATCAACTGGCTCGGTCAAGTTAATTGCTCTTACATCGGTCAATAATCTTGTCATTGTCATGGGCCTCACATTAATTTGATAGACTAACATGGGTATCTCAGACTTTCCCTTCAATATCTGAAAAACGAACATGACCTACAAGATTTGTTTAATTTTTGGGGCCAAGCTACAGGTTAGTATTCATTAATTCTCTGGTTGCAACTTGCAACCAATGTTGAACTCAAACCAGACCACACCACAGACCAAGACAATCAGGCTGCTAGAATTGGGAACCTGAGCCAAAATGGTTTTTGGTCAAATTTATTTTATTTTCTATGTGCTGCATATTTAAATTTCCTTTTCTTTTTTTGATTAGTGATAATGCAAATTTAGTGCACTATAAAACTGTCAGTGTGCTGTCTTGCAATATCGGCCTCAATCCTGAATGTTGAAGACCGTTCAGCTTCAGTGCTAATACCTTTGGACGATTTCAATTTTCAAATAAAGGAAAAAGTTAGCCTGATGGAATTGGACTTAGTTTAATCATGACTTGGAATGTAGGAGTCCTATTAGGGAAAGATGATAGGGTTAGAAACTGGATCAGCAGTCAGCACACAACAAACACAAAGAGGAGCCCATTTAAAGATAGCACGAAAGGAGGAGGAAAAGGTAAAGAAACTAACGGACTATATGCCATGCACCTTATAGGCTAGAGCTGTTTGGGTCCCAATAACTTGCTACATTTCCTATCCTAGTTGAATAGGTTTAGGAGTAGCCATTCAATATGTAAATTTGGATTAGAGAGTTGAAAACTGTAGGAAGCTTCTAAAACTAATGGATGAATCATCAGACTATTGAAATATCACCAGACAGTGTCATTATTTTTACTTGAAGAAGGCCTTCTTTAGGTGGGAGCAGTCCAAATTAAACGCAGCAGAGTGGACTAGCTTGAGATAACGACTGAGATAGGTTAATAATATTTACGCCTCCCCCTTCCTTTCCACTGTTGACGAACAGGGAAAGAAAGAAAGAACCAAGAAAAGAATAGGTGTACCGTTCTTTGCGATATAACCAACCAAGCCTGTTTCAAACCAAAATCCCATTTTTTTTTTTTAAGGTAGGGAAACATGTGCATAACATAATGCTTTGTTTGAATTATGGGAATTGGGAGATAGAAATAAGAAATGTATGTTGAAATTATAATTTTGGGCATGTTGATATGTCAAATTCAAGTCAATTAGAATACTCATAGATTTTTAGTTCATTCATTTAGTAGCAGTTTGAATATTTTTTATTTCATGCCTTTATTGAGTAATATACTAATAATATATTCTTATCATGTGTGTATTGATTCCGAAATCAGTAATACTAAATTATTATTATTATGAAATAATTAATTTGTTATAATTATGATTTTTAGTTAATTATTGAAATAATAATTGCTTTTATATTTCTTTTAGTTTAACATTAATGGATAATTGAAAGTTTATAATTAACTTTAACCAAATGAAATATTTATCGGAGAATAGTAATAGTATAATAATAATAATCTAAATAAGTAACACTAATTACATATTTATAAAATAATTAATATGAATTAATATAAATATAAAATGATTTTACCCTGATTAATAATTTACATTATTAAAATAATTATTATTTATCATTAATTAATTAACATTCCGAAGTAATAATTATCATTGTTATAATTAAGGAATTAATTATCAGTAAATAATTATAATCAGTAATTAAATTTTATCAGAAATCATTATTAGTAATAATTAATTATAATTATTGATAATAAGAATATAATTATATAATTATATTAATTAATTTAAGTATTAATTATAATTAATTATTATTAACTAATAATATATTCTTATTATGTGTATTGATTTTGAAATCAGTAATATTAAAGTATTATTATTATTATTTCTACTACTATTATTATTTTATTTTTATTATGTAATTAATTTGTTATAAATACAATTTTAGTTATTAATTCATAAAATAATATTTGCTTTTATAATTCTTGAAGTTTAACAATATTGAATAATAGAAAGTTTTATAATTTAACTTTCACTAAATGAAGTATTTATTAGAGAATAATAATAATATTAATTATAATTACTACTAATAATAATAATAATAATATAATTGTATTTACTAATATAATATTATTAATTATAATTACTTATAATGATATAATTAATTATTTCATATAAATGTATGAATTATAATTTCTGATAATAATTATAATATAAATATTATTTTTTCAAAATAACTAATATGAGTTAATTTAAATATAAAATGATTATTTCCGAATTATTAATTACCATTATGAAAACATTTATTAATCATCATTTCGACTTAATAATGAGCAATATTGTGAATAATAAATTATCAGTAATTATTATAAGAAATAATTTTCAGTAATTAATTATTATCATTGAGTAATTATTATTAGTAAATAATAATTGGAATTAATTAATTAGAGGTAATTAGCAGTAATTAATTAGTGGGAGTTACCAACTTCTCACAACTCTGCATAGTAATTATTAACAGTAGGCTCCACTCTAGATTTGACTTGACAGGTTTTAACATTACAGGTATCTCTGTTGGACAAAAAATAAAAAAAAAAAAAAGAAAAATCAAAGGAGTCTTGATACAATTGGGTGGAGTTTTGATTCATTGTATAGAGTCGATGATGCTCAATTACCATTCATATCACCGTAGTGTGGTTACCCAAAAAGACGGAAAATGAAACCAAAACTAGTGATTAGTAAAGGGACACGTCCGTGGGGTGGAACTTGAGACCCCATTGTCGTGGAGATATATGTTCATGATGATTAGAGAAGAGTCTTTTGCCGACGATGGATGCAGTCACTCCTCTGCGGCTATCAAATAGATAACAAATGAGAATTGCATATTAAAAGATGAGTGATTGTTGCTTGGCATCGTACCAGTTGGGTTTGACCAAATCTTTGTGTTGCCTTTACTAACCAAATTTTAAAGAAAAAAGAGTGGTATTAACAACCTTTCCTTAATTTCTTACATCTGCAGAGTCTAAAACTACCTACCTACAGCTGCCTGACTACTACAATTGCTACAGGACCACAAAAATAATGAACATGGAGTTTCATGTTTATCACCTAAAAAACCCTGCTTTTTACAGTGGAACAACCCCAAACTCCCCCCAAGCGGCCAGGCCCCAGCCTGAGAGAGAGAGAGAGAGAGAGAGATCACGGGCGGTGATGGTGGTCGCACTCGGGAGGAGCAACAGGAAACCTAGTAGCGTCCGTGCAATAATCGTAGACGAGGTGATTAGCTCGGACCCACAACAGCTGATGGCTCTGATGCAGGTTCAACTCGGACATCACGGGCTGGTCCCACCAGTACTTCTTCTCACTGGAACTGCACCTCTTGGCATTCTCATCGGCCGCCACAGTGACCGGGCACTCACAAGCGTTTATTTCGAATCCCGTGTAGGAGGCGATGAACGGGGCATTGGTCCAGTTTGTCTTAACTCGACCACCCTGGGTGGCCCAGTCATCAGCGTTCCATATCGAGCTATATACACCCATGGCCTGGTCCTTGGGGAACGGGATCCCTTGCTTCTCTTTGTTCGTGAATACGCGTACCGGCGTCTCGTCCACCATAAAACTGCATGAATCATCATCATCATCATCCCATTTTTTTAAATAAAAAAAACAACGGCTCTCAATGGATACGATCATACGAATTCGATACATAAAACTAAACGGACGAGTAGCCTGAGTTACATACAAACAAGGAACAACCCCAAGGGCGTACGTACCCTCGTTCGTAATCGTACGGCCAGGAACGTGCATTTGCGTGTGGGGTCATATGTCCATACGGCTTTGTCCTATGGGTGATTAGTTGTCGCGTGGGCCAAGATGGTCCACAGTGATGGGCCAGGTTTTCACCTGCTCCCTTTCACGGTCACGGGTTAACCCGTTAGTTTTTTAGGGTAATGTCTACTGTGTCTAGTTGTCTACTTCTACTAGTTATAAAAGTGGCAACCGATTTTTTCACCGATCTAGCACAACTGCACAAAGCCACAAATTGAAATTGAGAAATTTGAAAAAATACGACTAAGTGAAATAACGTAACGTACTGTACTCCACAGCCATATAGCCCATAGGAGCACTCTACAGCCTACAGCCTACAGCCCATAAGTGATGATGATATATGGCTACCTTCTTATTACTGCTTATTTGTTTGGGATGATGGTTCAGATTCGTGTGTGTGAATGAAGCATGAAAGAGACCAATGTAGGCTTTTAGTTTTAAGAAATAAGAATACGTACACAACTTGACGCTGGTTCCAGAGGATGGAGTAGGAGTGGAAGTCCTTGGTTGGGTCGAACCAGAGGTTCAGCCGCTGTTCCCGGTTGCCTACGCCGTTTACGTACACGTTGGTCTGGACCAGATAGGGCTCGCCGGTGGTGTTCCCCAGGAACTCGAAGTCGAACTCGTTGTGGTTCGGACCATCCGATGACATCTGTTTGCCGACACCAATCTCAATTAGCGTTTCATTGAAATAAATGCTTCACCCCCAGTTCAAATCAAGATAGAGATGTCGAAGAATCTAAATAATAAGAGCCGTCGGGCTTGGGCATTAAAAAAATGGAAAGCAATAACAATAAGCAATTAAGGTGTGAAATTCTGGGTTCTAATAAGGACTTTCCCCTGAAAATCAACTTGATTAAAGAAGGATAAGGTTTCCCTTCATTATCAAAGCTTACTAATTCTACGCAAACAAATAAACAGGCCCCAGCTGAAAAGAGTAGAAAAAGAATAATAAATGGGAGCCATAATGGAATTCAATAAGAAATTCAAGTCATGCATGCTTGCCCCATGAATTGAGGCAGAGCATCTTAATGATCCGTGGGGTACAGAAATTAAAGCGCAATAAATAAATCAACAAATAATCTGCTTATAGACAACTTATTTGAGTAAAGGACATTAAACAGCGATTGTTTGAAAGAAAATCAAAATCAATAAAACAATTGAGTATTTCTTACATAGAAAGCAGTGACAGTTCCAGCAGAATCTCCTTCGACAAGCTTGATCTGAATCGTTGTTTTTCCGAACAGATATTTGCTTTTCGAAGCAAAACCAGCACCTAAAACCACAACCACAGCCTCATCAGTGTAACAGTAGATTAAAAAAGACCCAAGGAGATCAATTAGAAGAGAAGACAAGAAGAACTAAAACTTGATTCACAAGACCATAGGAAAAAAACATTTGTTCGTCATAGATAAATCACAATAGGCGCTATGGTAAGAGAAAAATGCAACAAAAGAGAACAACAGCGAAACTAAAGCGACCATGAGCAGTACGGCATAAGAACACAGTAAAAAGCGAACAAGGAGAAATTGCAAGCATGGTCACTCAAAGAAAATGGATTGCCTAATAGAAAATCAGAGAAATAGCATAATGCATGAACTGGATGAAAGAATTTGAGTAAAACCTTGAGAAAATAAGGTAAGGGAGAAGAAAACAGAGAAGATTTAGAAAAGCATGCATGTGTCGGAAGAGCCCAGACACAAGATCATAACGCTGAAATGAAAGTAAAATAACAGAAAACAAAATGCGATCTAGCTCCATATATTACCAGAATAGTTGTCTAGTTTAAGCCTAAGCTGCTCTCCTTCGTAGACGAAATGATCGAGAGCCCAGCTCGGCTGAAAGAGATCATCGAACCTCGCTGAGCTGACCAAACCCACCAAAAGAACCGTAGAGACACAAAAGAAGAAGAACTTCATCGAGAAGGGAGGGTAAGTAACAGCCATTACTGATAAATCTCCGAAAGAACACTCAACTGCTAGTTCTCAGCTCTTACTCTTACAAGAGAGTGATGAGTGTAGGGACGAGCAAGCATCATTATATAGCCGATCGCTTTGGCTTTCGTAACAAGCTGCCCTGCTCCACTGCGATAAGCGATGACTCATGAGTGGTCCACCTCCCTTGAACTTCCTCCAAGGAGGCCCCACCTCATTAGCCACATCAGCATGGTAGAGAAGACACGTCATTGACCATGTAGGATCACGGAGCTCGAGGGATAAAAAAGAGCATGAGAAACTAGCCGTTGCCCCTTGCCACGTCCCCTTAGCTGGCCAATGCTGTCACAGTGGGGAACTTCCGTACGACAGGTCGCTGTTGAAAAGGGTGAGCCTCAGATTTCGAGCAAATAGGAGCTGAGCACGTGGGCTTTCTACAGCTGTTTCAGGCGCTATTCCAGTTGGCATTCGCAGTACGAGTGGAGAGAGAGAGAGATTCTGGGAGAGAGAGCTGTGGGTTCCATCGTCCCAGTATGGAGCTCTTTTACTTTTGCTGACGCCATGTGCCAGTTGGCGTGGGGCAAGCGCCCACCTCTCGTCTTTATTGGAGGTCTTTCAAATTTGCTTTTTCCGACCCCGATTTCCGTGACACGGACAGGGCACCCTTAATCACCATTTGATTGGAATATTTATTTCATTTGAGGTAAAAAGCTGTAGTGTTAGTATAGGTTCCATTCTCAGGAGCACTTGAGATCTTCAACTCAAAGAGTAGGGGTCGAGATCCGGAGATCGCTTCATTAGACTAATCTCGGAATTAAAGATTCTAATCCAACGAATTTTGCAACGTAACAATAGAACCCTGACCCTGCATGCAGACTACTGTTCCCAGTTAGGCATTATGGCTTCATATCGTACAGACAGTTCCCATGATATCCTGCTCTGTCTCTGTGCAAACTGCCAACTGCAGAGCAAGCACAGGAATGAAAATCGAAATATTAGCGGTTGATGTCAAATTCCCAGAGTGTAGGTATATGTATCACCGTTGGTTTTGGTCGATGAGAATCCGAAAGATCATCCAACGGCTAATAGTCCAAGAAGTAGTGTAGAGGACCATAGTCCGTGAAACACGAAAGTGGAGATTTCGAAGTTGCCGAAGCAGGCCATTCCATCAAAATGGACCACACCTATCCGTAAAAGATCGAGTGGTATACTTTCGGGGTGAATTATTGAGCTTCGTCCAATTCATTCTCGTTGCTTTTTCTGTGGACGGTAAGGTAGGTCCACAGCGTGGTCCAGTGCGGGAGGGAGCAACTTTTCTGATTAGAAAACACTAAGACAGGGGAGAGAGATAGAGCTTAGAGATAACGTCTAACGTGGTAACTGGTACGGTCCTCCTCTCAATCCTCGTTGGCTTGGCGAAGGCAGAAGAAAAACGAGAGAGAAATACCCACAATCCGCACGTTGACGGAAAAATGTCTCCCTTGGATATGACTTTTACCCTCCCTCATCCCCTCCCAACAGGCAACAGCCACATGTTTAATACAAAGGGATTATCTATCTCTCTCTTTCTCTCACGATTTTATAAATAATAAACACAGTCCGCACGTGACAGGGAGGAGCTTCGAATTCTTAGGTGAGAAGGGGAAGAGGTGGGATGAGCACTGAGATGACGGCTGCGGGAGGAAAAGGAAGCTCACGTGAAACTTTTAGCTTCGATCACGAGACCACCCGATACTAATTAGTAATTACCAAACAGAGAAGACGTCATCTGGGTTTTGGAGTTCCAATAGATTTAGGCTTTAGCTACAGCATTTTAGATTTTCCTCCCTCAAATATTAGTTTAATTCAATTGTTTAGGAGGTAGTCGGCGTTCCACTTGGAAAAATGGATCTTGGTAATCGTTGATTTTGGTCGCGAATAACACTAACACCCCCGCCCCACACTCTACATGCCTACACGTATTGTCGTATTGGCACGTGACGCTTTTTTCTATTAATTAATTCAAGTATGATGTACGAATCCCATTGTCCATCCATAATTCCTGTGTGCTTGTTTTGGATAGAGAGAGCAGTTTTCGGTTTTCAACACAGAGAGAGAGAGAGAGAGAGAGAGAGAGAGAGGAATTAAGAGGCTAAGCCCTGGGTGAAGGAATTCTAAGAACAAATGCCGGAATACAGCTGCCTGGTGCTGTAATAGTTTAAAATTATTTATATATATGTATTCTCTTTGGAATCATCACAAGTGGGGGAAGAATAGAAACCAACAGAACGGAAAAAACAAACACAAGAGCATATACATATGTAGATGCAATGATGCAATTGCCCATTTTAAAAAACAACGCCTGAAAATTCTCCATTTTTTTTTCCTCGGAGCAGTGCAAGTGTCGCAAGTTCTACAGTAATTCTACAAAACTGAATCGCCCAATGGATACATACTCTGCTCTATCTAATCATAGAAAGATGACAGAGGAGTCACCACCAGTCACTAGTCAGTCTTGTGGTCATGAAGGCATCTCCAATCTTCTTGCCACGTTTCACTATTCTTTTGTCCCTGTTTGAATGGATACAGTCATACAGATTTTTTTTTTTTTTTTTGGATAAGCAAGGAAACAAAAAAAATGAGCTATACAAGGAAGGATGGATACAGATTCTGATCCATACCAAAAAGCATCAACCATCACCAGGCTCGGCTGCTTGCTTATATACACATGATGTCGCACCTTGATATTTGCATCTGTCCTTTTATTTTGCTTCTTGTCATTGCTCTTCTGTGCTTCTGTGACTCTGTCAGTAGTGTGCACATAATATATAATAGGCTAATAGCTCAAACATGAATGGATGAGCACCCAATGGCTCAAGAAACACGTGCGTGCTGTTGCTGGTGTGTAAAAGCAGCAAAACCCACGATTCCTTTTGACATAATAATTGATTTACAGTGTACTAAATGGGTCTCTCAGTATGTAGAAATACAGTGCTACTACACACGTGCATTGCACAAACTTTTTCTAATTTTTTTATTGAAAAAAAATAAAGTTGTCCTGTGTGATTACTAAAACACCCTCAGTTACTGGCTCAATGTTGAGGGCGTTTTGGCATTAAGAAACACCCTGTATTGTAATTTCCCCCGGCATGCTTCTATACCATTACCGGCAACCCACTTGTATAGCCAGTGGGTACTGCATTCAATCAAATATGCTGATATCCATTTCTTGAATAACATAAGAACATAAAGCCTCAGTGTCAGTGCCTTGCACGTGTTGCCTGTATCGTGCCACTTAGTGAATGTGATCATGGCTACAAGGTGATGGCTATGCATTTCAGAATGCTAACCTAGAAGATGATATTTCCCTGGAGGAAAGGAGAAGAAGAAATGCTATCAGGCAGCTCAACTGCCTTTACTATGCTCAACTGTTGTCCTTTAACATGTCTTTTCCTAAACCCTGTTGTGTTTGAAATGCAAAACGAAAGGCAGCTCAGCTGCATATGATAGCATCACTGTTTCAAAACAAGACTTAACAAGTAAGACAAAGAAGAGGTGGATGAGCACCTTCCAATATTATATTACAGTGGTCCCGTTTAAGATTATTGCTGTTATCTCCTAGTCTCCCCCCTCCCCCTCTTAAGGCCTTTTTTTCCTTGAACCACTCATCTCCATCACACAGTTTTCTTTAGGGCAAATTTCTTAAATTACCCTTATGATTTAGTTAATTGATTATGTATACCCCTACTGTTTGACTATTGTCTAATGCAAGCCCCTACTGTTTCTGACAATTGACTAGCTCTACCTTAAACATTAGCATCCGTTAATATTCCTCACACATGATATATAATTTTTTTAAAACCCAAATTTACCCTTCATCCATCTCCCTCTCCCTCCTCCTTCACCATCTTCTTCAAGAGAGCCACCGGCACCTCCTGCCAATCTGCAATGAAAATCAAGAAGCTCCACTCTATGGTGAAGAAAAAATCCATCTTGACGGCAAAAAGAGTTATTCCTCTTTTTGTTGGTTCTTTCTAAACCTCAATCTCACCAGAGACGGCTCCCTACAGAGACAACTCCACTCTGTAGGGTTCAAGCATGGATGTGGAGGGGTCGGCAGTGATGAAGCAGGGGTGAGAGGGAGAACAATTAAAATATTCATCCAGACGATAGTTCACCTGCTAATGTTTTTAAACCCTAACTAGGGTTCAACTATAATACCACACAAACTTACAGCTAATCAACCAGAATCAACTGCGTGATAGCCTCTTTTATTATACCAGTTGATTGGCCACAAGTTTTTTCGGTATCTAAGCTACCTTAACTCACACAAAGATGGCAGCGGCAAAGACCGTGATCTAAGCTAACACTTTCTTTTTCTTTACTTTAATAACAAAAACATACAGAGATAAGGGGGATTTCAATTTCTTCGAGCATCTAGTATGTATGTGCGGGTCCAACTATCAAATGGGATAAAATTTTCACAAATCAGATTCAACAAAAGAATTGCACAAATCAATGGCAATACAATCAGATTTTTATCCATTCTTATAGTTTGAGTTGTAGATTCTATAACGGGAGACAAATATTAAAAATAAAAAGTTGCTAGATCTAACTCATTAACTGATTTAATAGTCAGTCTAACGCTAGATCTAGCGTAGATCTACAATTTTAATGCTGCTTTCTGCTTCTTCCTCCTCCAGGCGACTTGTCCCACAAAAAATCATCTCAAAGAACGAAAAAGGGCGAGAGGGAGAGAGAATGAAGGGGACGGAAAGATGGAGAGAGAGGCCGGATGTGGAGGGACCCGCTGCTGCTGCAGTGTTGGTGATGAAACAGGGGCGAGAGGGAGAGAGAACGAAGGGGACGGAGAGAGGTTGGATGTGGAGGGGTCCACCGCTTTGCAGCAACGGCGGTGATGAAACAGGGGTGAGAGGGAGAGAGAATGAAGGGGACGGGGAGAGAGAGAGGCTGGTGCTGTTCTGCATCCGTTCAAAGCTCTCTACTCAGATCTGCATCTGTTCAAAGCTCCTCCATACCTGCCCACCTCATCTCAGATGAAGGAACCCAGATCTGGACCTGGGCGGCCAAGACAAACCAAGGAAGATGAAGAAGAACCAGAGGAGCTCTCAATTTGACCTAAGGGCTAAACGGGCATTTCAGCCCTTCCGTTAATATTTTAACAGTAATGGTAATTTTCCAAAACAGTAAGGGTAGCATTAGACAATAGTCAAACAGAGGGGGTATACTTAGTCAATTAGCTAAACCATAAAGGTAGTTTAAGAAATTTGCCCTTTTCTTTATATCTTCCTCATGTTTGTAAAAGAAAAATATATTGCATTAAAACGAAATATAATTTGTCTTTGGAAATGTAGTGTTTACAAAAAGAAAAAAAAAAAAAACCTAAAATTCACACTGCTTAATTGGTCAGTGCCTAACCACCGGATGTCACTTGGTAATCCTTAGGCAACAGTGAATCAGCTAGGCAATGAGCAACACCTTGACTTCATTGTAATAAACAGATCAGGAGAAACTTAGCAATCAAGAAAAAAAAAGGGATGAGGAGATACAACAATTGAACTACTTGGATCATCTGCATGGACCTCACAATATTGATTTTGCAGAGATGAATTGTCAATCATGGAAGGGGCATTATAGTAATATAGGCTAACATTTACAGGCAAGGGTAATATTATTTTATTCAAAATAAACACATTATTATTCATAAAGAATTTCGAACAGTAAAATACCACATACCTTCCTCAAGACAAATGCCAAATATAGATAAACTACCTCCCTCATCATGTGATAGTCTGCCTTCATATCACAGCGCCATGGAAAATTGAAGTCAAGGTAAAACATCCTAGAATTTGAAAAAATTATCTAATAAACCACCAAATATATTTATCCATTTCAAGAAATGTACAAATAATAATTGTAAATAAAAATAAAAACATAAAATCTCTATTGAACATTGTCGGATAGAAGTTTCAAAAAAAAAGGAATTTGCATGTGCAGGTAACAAATCAACTGGCATTCACTCAAATTCATATGGGTTTCTGATTGGTTCAAGATTTTCAGGTATCATACATTTCTAGTATCATTTAAATTGCCTATAGACAATTAGACATGTGGATAAAACAAGCAGAAGAGAAGCCAACTGCACTATCTGTTGTCCTTATTTCCATCAAACATGATACCAAGTCTACACACTAGCTCAGCAAACTCTGATTCTTCCAGGTACTCTATCTACAAGTTCCATGGAAGCTGTTGACAAAAGCAAGTTCCAAGCCAATATTGCAAAAGCAAATATATGTGAACTTTACAAATTCTAACATTTTATGTATGAGAGCACTTTAATAGCTCTTGCACAACATTCAGAAGAAATCATTAAGGTCTAGTAGTAGTCCACTGCAAAACCCAAATATAGTGATTAAAATCAGTATTTGGTAGGGGGATCTATTTTCCATCCTCTTTTATGCAATTTTAGGATTTGCAGTACACCACAGTTTCAGCAGGGTCATCATTTGGCACTCTACCAACTACTATAAATAACAGAGCAAGTGGGTTGGCCTGCGGAGGTAGAGAAGATAGATACACCACCTTCAACCCTCATAGAAGTCATTTGAAATGCGAATGTTGCATCCTACAATAATAATCAAGATTAGAAATGTCAAAAGCCAAAACTCAAACCTTATCAGCCAGCATTTTGAGTATCATGGAATGGGACTACCCATTGAAAACAACCAACAGCATCCTGCAACAATACTCAAGATTAGAAACGACAAGAATACATAGAAACCACATTCCATGAGATACACCATTCAGGTTCTTACAATACATCTGATAAAATTTGTTGTGAACATCAAACTTTCTAGCATAATACCAAACTCAAGCATGCTTTTGAAAAACAAAATACTCCTTGGAGTCAAGTCAGATCCATATTCGGTTCCTCAGGGTTCCTCAACCCTTGTATCTGCCACCAAAAGAAACTCCTGCACATTGTAAACTACTTGAATCAACAAAACCTTAATCCCAACTAAATGGTTTGGCTTTTGCACATTGTAAATTAATTTAACTAAAATATGGATGATAAAAGACATTCCCGGGTGGCAATTAGAATCATTATCAGCAATATTTTATAGAAAAATAATACATCAAGACTGTACCACTAGTATGCATACATAGTAACCACAAAAATGTGTGCATGACAATATAGTCATTAGTCATGATACAAGAAAAATCACCTTTCAGAATATTTTCTTGTTAAAATGAACCCAGTACACACTATTCCCAAATAATCGTCCTTCCACTGTATGTTCACAATAAGATTAGCAGTTGCCATTGAGCAGGCAGACCATGCTTGATGGTCTTCAAGAATAGGACAAGATATTATTGAACAATGCAGATGATCAGACAGATAGGAACTTAAGGAGAAGATTTGATATAGTATGTACCATAGAAATAACTATCAGGGGTTTTGAACTGTTGCTAACAAACAAAGATTGAGTTCAATCTTGCATGGTCAAAATTTTCTAGTTGTTCAGAGGAGATGTAAACAATTTATCATTTCAGGATATCAAGAAAAAGAAATGAACCTATTTCCATTTTTCCTTAGCAACCTAGAAATGAATCCATCTTTCATAAGGACACTGGGTTCAAAGACTATTGAAATTTTAAATTAAATGAAGCCCATTCAACATAGAAACAAAGCAAGCTATAAGTTAATTAATAATGATACCAATTAATGATACTAACAGCTCTATTTCCTTACCATATTGTTTATAAGTCCTAATACTCCTCACTCTTTAATCCACCCATCCCCAACATAAAAGAAAAAGAACCATTTCATGCCATCAAAGAAATCATATTTCGCATTATCCATAAACATCCATCTACATGTCATCATCATTATCATTATTATTTTCCTTCAAAGTTCAAATAAGGCTTTCATGAATTGAGCATCATTTCTCTGAAAGTAGGGTTTATCGCTCTTAGCCTGGCCAACCCACAAATTTCTGGGCTTGGGCCTAGGTTTTGTATCCAGGATTGGGCCATATATATTCATGTTATTATCATTATTGCTATTTTTTTCTGAAAGTTGGGATAAAACTTTGATGAATCGAGTATCATTTCTCTGAAAGGATGCCTTTGAGCATAATCAAGTTTCTTTTACAATAAAAGAACAAGTGATATAATGGAAAGTAATTGAAAAAGAAAAAGAAGCAACATTACACAGGTTAAAAATGTCCAGGACAAGTTTCTGGTGATGAAAGTAAAAAGTCCATTACCCAATGTTGGTCCCAATCCCAACTATCTGGGATCTTGGGAGGGCTAGACTGGTTATGGTCCTAACCTCTAGCATTTTACACACAAAGTGGCTGCGCTGAGAAGGGAACCCATAATCACTTATGCCGATAGAAAACAAAGATACAAATATTATACACTATGAATACCTTCTTTAAGCCTTTTGACAATAACATTTACATCTAGCCTTGTTCCAAAAGATCTCTCCTGGATGAAGTAATGCTGATGTGACTTTGCCCAAGGATCACCATGAACATGTCTCTATAGACTATGAGACAAACTGCAAACTACTATGTCAGTTGATGCTTTTAGATTTAAAGGATTATAAAAAGTACTACCCACCGAACTGTGAATGCCCACTGACCAACATTTTCCATCAATATGATTCACAGAGCAAACAATGTGAACAAGCAGTTTAAATTTATCACCTATGATCATAATGGACCATATCAATTATCACAAGCATACTTGAATATCTTAAATTTGGAAGTATGCTCCCATTATACCACCAACATTATGCACTGAACATGATTTAAGTTATGGGGAAAAATAAATAAGTAAATTAAAGGTAAACAATGCACATTTATCAAAAGAGAGGATTGGGGTTTGGAAGAGATTTTTTTTAGATTTCTTTTGAGGGGTTACACAACGGGGGGTAGCCCATCCCCCAACCCATAACACCCCCCCCCAACCCAGGTGCAGGCAGGATTTGATCCCAAGTCTCTACTACGACCAGCAAGAGACCTTACCAACCAGCTGGTTGGCACCTTGCGGGTTTGGAAGAGATAATTGATTTTCTTTTTTTTTCTTTTTTTGGTTTTTTGCTTTTCAGAGGGGGTTCACTAGTTAGGTTTGCTTATTTTCTTCAGGATTGAGAAATAAAGTCTTGGGCTTAGGCTTGGCTTTAAGAGTAACTTTAAGTAGGATATGGGTAATTGGTGTAGATGGTGCTAACTCAAAAGTGGAAGGCAATAGTAAGTGGGTGCATTCTGTAAAAAAGGGTGAATCTGTTTCTGAGAAGGGAGATTATATCCAGTAAAGAAGAAAAGGACAAGGATGACTGCTGAGAACATAGAAAAAGATATGAAGAGGGTCCATCTAGAAGATTCAGGGGAAGATATCAAGGAATACCAGATCAACAAATGAGATGGTGGTGATCTTGTAACTGAAAGTGCATGGTGACATGTCAAGGGGTTGGATAAGCTTAGAATTGGATTATTAGATGATAGAGAGATGGATGTTTGATTGGGAATGTGTAAGAGCATAGACAGGCATAATACTACAAATGCTAGCGGATATGTGAAATATGTGTTTTAACCAAAGTAATTGTGTGAAATGCAGGCACAGATGGTAATAAGTGGTTGATCTTGTTGAGCAGATGTGTGAGGTTGGGAAAGGTATGTCATTGTGTACCAACCATCATGTGGTATTCCTCATTTTAGGGTTCGACACTTCGACTATGATACTGAAAAGATATGATACCAGAAAAACTTACAGCCAATCAACCGGTATCATAGTAGAGGTGACCAACCAGGTGGTATTGATCAAAATTCACGGGGGTGCTTTGATTGGTCAAAGCTCTTCCGGTAACATGTCTTTCCGGTATCATAGATTTTCCCTAATAAGGTAACTGTGGTATAACTGATTAATACACTTTTCCCAGCAGATATTTAGCAACACTTTTAGGGTGATTCCCTGATAAAGATAATTGAATAAAGAGAGAGTATTAAAGTAGTCTTCGATTCCAGAAACTTCCAAGTAACTATTAATATAGGCTCAAATCCCCAAAAGAGACATCAGACTTCCATTTCAGTAATGGGAATATTAGCCTTGAAACCCTAACTCAGGTTGTCACTTCTCAAACCTTAGTCCTACTCTTAGTACAGACACCCACCACCATCTCCATTACCAAAGGAGTTTCAGTTCTTTTTCCCAGGCATCCTTCAACTTTCAAAGTATAGACTGCCTGAATCATCACTATTGTCTTACAAGGAGAGCAGTTGTAAGTTGTTTTGTGAGTGGGGAGGAATTGGATTGGGTAGTGAAATGCTAAAGATGCCATTTGTCTTTCTTTCTGGACTGATACTTTTGCAAGTGTAAGAAATATAACACTTACATGTTTAAAGAGAGTCCTTACCGTAGGAAGTGGTATCTTATATTCTAAAACCTTTCTACTTTTCCCTTTATCCAATCCCATATCTGATCTCCCTCCTTTTTTCCCATCACATGAAGATAATTGGACCTTTTTCCTTCCCACCCTACATCACAGACACTAAAAAGCACCCCTATCCCATGCTCGATTCAAGACTTGTCAATAATGATTCTATCAATTGTTAAAAAATGTATTCACTCCTGTCCTAATGAAGACTGAAGATAATAACAACAAACAAGTTGATTCCATTTAATTTATGTTTTTTTTTTCAATTGACCAAACAACATAGAAGATTGAAGATTCTTTCATTCACTTTAATAAAATATTCACATTTACTGATAAAAATTATGGAAGATTAAAGATGATATCAAGAAACTTTTTGGTTTCCATTTCATTTGTAATCTTCTCAATTGATCAAAGTAGGAACAATAGAAGATATCAAATGCATGGAGTTTGAAATGACATGACAATGATAATGATGACAATGATAATGATGTGGTAACAACAGCATAAGCACTCAAGAGTCTTTAACCATAGTTAACCTAGTTACATCCAAAAACATCATCCAGCCATAAAATCTTATGTGTATTGAAGAACATTAACATTATTAACTATATGGTGCCATTACGCAATGATGATCCCAATTATTTGGGATCTTTGGGTGAGGTGGACTGGAAATGGGCCTAACCTTTGGCATTTTTTCTTTTCTTTTTCTTTTTCTTTTTCTTTTTCTTTTTTTTTTTGCATAAAACAGCTGATGTCAGACTGGAATTCACATTATCATGTGAATCAGCCCGAGACTTTATTTATTTATTTCGACAGATAGCAACCATGAAATATTCATTCACCTGGCAGCTGCATGTATCAAATGGAGTATCATCATATCTTCCAAAACCTTACCCAAATGAATCTCCATTTCATCGGTATGCAACAAAAATAAACTCGAACTTGCTGACATATCAGAATTGACGGAATATGGCAAATGAAATGATAAGTCGGATCCAAAGTCAAATAGCTTAGAGGAAACTAACATAACATTATTTTCTTATTATTTGAAATGACAAGTTTCCCATAGATATCTGTGAGATAAATTGCAGCTCTATTGAAGCATTGCCTCAAAGAAACATTATGACAATTGTTATGCGAACTTTAGAGACAGGAAATGCATGGCATTTAAGTTGGACGTTTTTATTATCTATGAACTGTTTAGGATAACTAAGATCTTCCAGTCAGTCTCTGGTTGGTATCCCTTTTAGCCTAGCCAAATTAAAAACGAGAAAATTCATAAACAATTTCCTGGCAGCCTAGCACACTACTTTGATGTAAACAATAACCCATCATTTCCAAAAATTTCTTCTTCCCTTGGTTGTTTTCATTCTATAGGTCTCACATTTAACAGATAGTGAAGAAAAGGAAAGGAACCATAGAAACCCATAACTGTTTTTTTTTTTTTTTGCTTTTTTTGTAAAATAGAAATTCAGAACCTTATCTCAAACAAATGCAACAAACTAAAATGAAAACCGAAAACCAATCAATAACAATGCTAATAAAGCTGTGAAGTCCAAGCTATTTAACACATAATTAAAGCGATACTAGAACTCTGACCGACAAACCTCTTCTGAGTTAACAGAAGAGGCACATTCAGGTTTACGAGAGATACAAGGCATATACCTTAAGTTCATCTTCCGTCGCCCTTATATTGCCGACCCAGATTGCTGTCCTTTTACGTTCGGAGCTGAAGCGAAGTGCCAGGATGACACAACCCCCGACTCTATTCCTTTATTCCCCCTTTTTCCCTCCCTTCAGGCCTTTCTACGGTAGTTATTTTTTATTTATTATTATTATTTTCTGGGTAAAATACAAAAATCTTTTCTGAAGTTCTGATAATTATAAAAACATCCTTATAGTTTCATTGTAACAAATATTTCTCCTGAACTTTTAAAAAAGTCAACAAAAACTTCCCTTTCATCACTGATTCAAACGGAAAACGTTGACATTTACGAATTTACCCTCGAAGCATCATTTAAACATTTTATAAAATATCATATTTGCCCTCAATCGAATAACATCTCACTCACATTTACTATATATTCTTTTGTTAAAGCTAAACCCTAACACTTGCAGGGATGTCATTGCTCAGAATATTCAGCTTCTCAGAATATTCCATCCATTTTTCGGCAACTGTTTTTCATCGGTGAGTATTCTTGACCAGCGAGTTAAAACAAACATACAGTTTTGACTGTTCTTCACCGATGAATATTTCATCCATTTTTTAAAACTTCCATTGTTCTTCACCGTAATATTTTATTTCTTGCCTAGAGTCAAATATTCAAGTGAATATGAAGAAATGGGATTCAGTCAGTGCAAAGCCCATTCAAACAACCATCATAGCCTTACATTGGAAATATCTCCCCATAAAATAAAGCATAAAAGTAAGGCTGTAAAGGCTGTTCGAACAGGGTTCAAACGAACCTTATACTGACTGAAGCCAATCTACTAAACCTCTTCAAGATATTTAGCTATAAAAGCGTGTGGATATGATTTTAGAATCTTTTCTATCACTTTTGATGATTATTTTGTAGATATAGCCATGCTTGACGATATCAGCCTTAATATCAAATGGGTTCCATTGCTTTGTAATAAGAAAGTATGCTAATAGGAAGGTGTATAATATCCTCTATAATTAGAAGTCCTAAATTATAGAGGTGACCGTTACTAGACTTACTATTTTTTTTTTGCTTTGTAACTTGTATATATATATTGTAGCCGACGTCCCTTTGAAATACAAGTTTATGAGAATAATTTTCTCCCATTGGAATTCTTCTCCTTCTCTGAATTCTACGATTTCGGTTATCATCTTCTTCATGGTTTTATCATGGTACCAGAACCATGGTGATTTTCACCACTGATCTGTTCAGAGGGCGTGTGCCCATCAAAGAAGATGAGTTGTGTGACTCGTAGCAGTGAGGTTCGGTGTGTGCCAAACCACTTATTCAACCCATCGATTTTTTTTGAGCGATTTCCTATCTGAAGCAATGACTGGCAGCAACCCATCCACCTCCTTCAAGATTCCATCGATCAGTGATCCCACGTCTGTATATTATCTGAGCTCCTCTGACAGTCCAGGTATGCTTCTGAGCCAAATCATTCTTAATGGAGAAAATTATCATGTTTGGGAAAAGGCCTTTCAAAGAGCTCTAAAATCTAAAAACAAATTGAGTTTCATTGATGGGACTCTAGAGAGAACTAAGGCCAATGACATTGATAAAAACACTTGGGATAAATGCAATGCTATGGTTGTTTCATGGATTTTTAATTGTGTTGACAAAAGCATACAAAATACTATAATTTCCTTTAATGATGCTAGAGAGTTGTGGACTGAACTCCAATAGAGATATCATCAAGGGCATGGTCCCCGAATATATCAGTTGAAAGGGGAATTAAATGAATTCAGGCAATGATCACTAAGTGTCATAAATTACTATGCTAAACTAAAAGGAATATGGGATCAGCTAGACCAGTATACTAAAATCGACACTTGTGTGTGTGGATCGACGTGTAAAACATTGATCAATATACTAGAAGAAAGGGAGAATGAAAAGGTCTATAAATTTTTGATGGGCCTCGATGATCGATATGGTACTGTCAGATCAAATATTATAAGCATGGACCTATTGCCTTCACTCACTCGCTGTTTTGCTATGATATCAAGAGAAGAATTGCAATTGAAAGCGAGGCAACGCGAAGATCCAATGATACAAAATGCTGCCTTCGCAAGCCGAGGAAAATTAGATCAAAAGAGTCAGATAGGAGAAGGGCAAGACTCTGCTGATCTACCCATAGTATGTGCTCACTACAAGAGACCTGGACATGACAAATCCCGTTGTTTTGAAATCATTGGGTACTCGGAACATTGGAAAAACCAAAATGTAGGTAAAGCAGGTCGTGGTTGAGGACGAGGCAATGGAAACCATGGTGGCAAAGGAGCAACGGCCAATGCCATCCAAGGTCAAGCAGGTGCTGTCACTGAAGAAATGGGAGCGTCAAACAACATTGTGCAGATGTCATCTCTCACACAAGCTCAACTTGATCATTTAATGCACTGTTTGGTAAGAAACTTTCCTTGGTCCACTTATCGAATTGGATTATCGATAGTGATGCATCACACCATGTTTCTAGTAATCTTAAAGCCTTTGAGAATGTTCGAGAGGCTGGAAGGGATGAAAGAGTTGTCATCCCAAATGGAGATTCTTTGAAAGTAAATAAAATAGGGGATATCATGATTGACAAACATATCAAATTGAAAGATGTTTTTTATGTTCTGGATTTTAAATGTAATATGATATCATCAAGAAAGTTAAGTGAAGATATGGGTTGTGCTATTACTTACTATTTGAATATTTGTGTAATATAGGACCCCACTCGGCGGACGCTGATTGGACTGGGTGATCTCAAGGATGGCCTATACTATTTGCAAAACACACATAGTGTTCATGCAATGGCCACTAAGAAGAATATAGAGAAGCTGTGGCAAAAATGTCTAGGACATCTTTCTGACAAAAATTTATCCTATTTATCTGGAGTGTGTGGTTTCAACCATAATAATAATTGTGTTGAGTACTGTGATATATGTCATCGTGCGAAGCAGACACGAATTTCATTTTCTTTAAGTGACAATAAAGCTCCACGTGCTTTTGACTTAGTACATTGCGACCTGTGGGGTCGGTATCATACTCCATCTCTCTCAGGATGGAGTACTGTTAACCATCATGGATGATTTTACACGTACTACGTAGGTGTATCTTTTGCATGATAAATCAGAAACTCAAAAGGTTTTCATGTCCTTTTGTGTTATGGTTAGGAGACAATTTGGGGTTGACATCAAGATGGTTCGTAGTGACAATGGGACAAAATTCTTAGAGACTCTCAATGATTTTTTTCTCAGCCAGAGAATCATTCATCAAACCTCTTGTGTTGGGACACCGCAACAGAACGGGAGAGTAGAAAGGAAGCACCAACATATCCTCAATGTGGCAAAAGCATTACGTTTCCAGGCCAATCTACTCTTGAAATTTTGGGAAGAGTGTATTATGGCAGTAGCTCATCTGATTAACTACACTCCAAGCAACGTACTAGGAGGCCACACACCATTTGAAGTATTGTTTGGGAAAACACCCAATTATTCTCACATTAAAGTTTTTGGGTGCCTTGCGTATGCCAAAAGGCAAGGCATTGGAAATGATAAGTTTGAAGAGCGTGTCAAGAAGTGTATTTTCGTTGGATTCCCGTATGGAAAGAAATGATGGAAAATGTATAACTTGGAGAAAGGAGATATTTTTACATCCCGAGATGTATACTTTTATGAGGAAGTCTTTCCTTTTAGCAATAATAAGGCGCTTGGAGGAGAACGACTCCCAAGTGAGGGGGAGCATGTGGTTGTGGAAGATGAAATCGAGTCGTTTAGGAATGAGAAAAGTCTTGTTGGAGCTAATGGCAACCAACATATGGGCACAAATGAAGAAGGTGTCCACACAGCTGATGAGGAAACAAATTCAAAAAAACAACAAGGAACAGGTGCGTCTGACCAAGCTATAGTGAACACACCACAAAGAAATGAAAATAAACAATATGTTTTGCGACAGGAGCGACCTCAACGGGAAAGAAAACTGCATGGGTATTTAAGAGACTATGTGTGTGATGCATTGTTACCACCATCCAACGTGAAATCAGTTCGAAAAGCGGCCGCAGGTAAGGCCCATTCCCTAACACACTACATTTGCTATAATAAGTTTAGTCCAACTCATAAAGCTTTCTTAGCGGCCATCAATTCTCATGATGAGCCAACCAGTTATGCACATGCAGTCAAAGATGAATGATGCATTAAGGCAATGGACAAAGAGATTAAGGCATTGGAAGAAAACAAAACATGGAAAATTGTGAGTTTGCCCCCAAGAAAGAAAGTGGTTGGATGCAAATGGGTCTATAGAATTAAGTACAAATCAGATGGAATCATTGAACGTTTCAAGGACAGATTAGTCGTGCAAGGCTTCACTAAAAAATGAGGACAGGATTATATAGAGACTTTCGCTCCAATAACAAAGGATGTATTTGTTCGTGTCTTTTTAGCAGTGGCAGTAACAAAAGGATGGGAGCTTCATCAAATGGACGTAAATAATGTGTTTCTGCATGGTGACCTCAAAGAAGAAATTTACATGAAGCTCCCATCAGGCTTTAGTTTCGAAAAACCAAATGCAGTATGCAGGATACAAAAGTCTCTGTACGGCCTAAAACAGGCCTCTAGAAACTGGTTCGCAAAGTTGGCAGCATCCTTGCATGAGTATGGTTTCAAGCAATCCACTGTGGAAAGTACTCTTTTCATATACAGAAAGGAAAACATTTTTCTTGGTCTCTTGGTGTACGTTGATGATATTTTACTAGCTGGGAACAGTTCAGAAACATGTGCAGAATTCAAGGCGTATCTCAATAGTTGTTTCAAGATAAAGGACTTAGGAAATTTGAAATACTTCCTTGCAATAGAAGTAGCTCGGTCTACTACCGGTCTGTTTTTGAATCAACGCAAGTTTGTTTTGGACATTTTGAAAGAAACTATATTGACTGGATGCAAACCTGTAGACACCCCAATTGAACAAAATCATCATTTGTGGTATGCCAATGGGAGTTTTCATTCTGATCCAAATTAGTACTGAAGATTGGTAGGACGACTGTTATACTTAACAATCACGAGGCCCGACATCACTTATGTTGTGCATGTGCTTAGCTAATTCGTTC